GGTCGAGCTGCGTACGCCAAACTGCTGGAACTGTTTGTTAACCCTACTCGATAAAACAGATGAATCTAAATCCTCGTAATCCGTATTATCCCGAACTACGTAAGCTCTGATCTCTCATACCTGTTGAGAGTACGTAGGCACAATATTGACGTATTGGCGAGCTACCTTCCCCGTAACCCGTAGTTAGCCGAACTACGTTGACTCTGATTTCTCATTCTCTGATGAGAATACGTAGGCATAAAGCGCGACGCTTTGCAAAGTCATTTTCTTTTCTTTTCAGACCAGCCTTGATAGGTAGATAGATAAAACCAACCCGTCAGATAAACATAACAAGCGTGGATCCCATTGAGTACGATGAACGCGAGGGGTGCTAATACCTTCCCCTTGCGTAACCGACTCCTGAACCCAAACAATGGTTGCGATGACCTTGTCTTATACCTTTTCGTCAGGTTTTTCCGATTGTTTCCTTTCCCGTTCTGAGGGATAAATAACAAAAGGTAGCGACTCTTCTGTTTTGCCGGCACCTTATTTTCGCAGAAGCGACAGAGAGCCATAAAACCTCTGCCATTTTCACTTTAAACAACCTCAAAAACTAGAAACCCTAACTTTGATTTAAACTTGTTTTAACTTCAAATCTCTGCTCAGAATCCTTCATCGGTAGCATCTAAAGTTACTTGAAGCATTACAAAAGTTCAACATCATCTGCAACCTTCAACCCAATCTCACCATTTTCATACCTTTGAAGCTTTTTCAAACAGGTAGATACGAGTAAAATTACACTACAAACAAGTTACTAGTAGCTTCGTCGTGCTTCACTGATCAAAAGCTCTCACTCACGTTGCATTTTTTATTTGTCTTAGTCATTTAATTTTACTTTGAGACCTTAGGATTTTCTGCATATTTAAGCAAATTCTCTCTGCTTAGAGTCAATAAATGGCTCTAATGCAGTGAGACATGTATGATGAATGAAGTAGGAGCTTGCATGTTTGGTGTTTGAACTAAAAACTTCAAGTTCATGAACCTGCAAAATAAAAAATTTGGAGGTTGAAGACGAAGATCTTCACACGTTTCAAAGGTAAATTCAAATCCTCCATCCAATTACAGCGCACCAGGCATGCTAGCCATTGTATTTTGAATTTCTTTTTTTTTTTTCTATTATTTTCATTTAATTCTATTTTCTTTCAAATTTCAATAAAAATAGCTCCAAAATGATTTTTCACTCTAATTTTTTTTCATAAATTTCTAAATATTTTCTATCACATTTTTTTTCTTCATATACTTGAAATGATTTTTAGCATTTATTGTTATTTTCTCTCTATTTTTCTTTTAATTTCTTTTCATCAATTTATTTTCAGTTCTTTTAAAACATTTTAAATCTCAACTTTTGGAATCTCATTACTTATAGTATTTGTGATGTTATCAAAATTTTTAGGACATTTATTTAATATTTTGATGCCTCTTTGGTATTTTCTCTTATTTTCCATTTTAAAAATATTTTAAATTTGTTTTTAATGGTTTTTCTATTGCTTTGGTCCATTTTATGCTTTGACTCTTTTGTTGACTTTGATCATTTGTGGTTGATTGGTGCTTCATCTTGTTCAATTAGACTTTGGATGTATGTCTTGATGGATTGAACTTTCTTCATTTCAAACTTATCATTAAATGGTCATTTTATCTTTTTTGGTACTTTGGGTTGATGATAAGTTTACCTCAAGGTATCATGAAGAGGAATGATTAAAGTTGATGATAGATAATCCCATGTGCCTTTGTGATTGATCATATCTCTCTCATTCTCTTTCTTCTTGTTGTTTTGTTTTGACTTGTATTACATTGTTTTAGGAGAATGACTTTTTGTCATTTCTCTAACATGTATTACACATAAATTATTATTGACCAGTGTCAGATAGTTCTGACTTCTACATAAGTCTAATTACGATTGATTAACATAACACTAAATTTGTCTCGAATCAGTTTAATTCTCATCAACACTAACATTAACACCTCATAGTTGTACTAACTCATAACTTTAGTTTCAAGCATTTACTTTAGTTCTCTTTACTTTTATGCAATTTATTTTATGTCATTTACATTTGAGCATTTATATTTAAACATCTTTATGTTTGTTTTTATTTTTTATGCTTTATCTCTTGCTTTTTTCTTTTTCTTTATTCTAAAATACCAAAAACATTAATAAAAAATCAAAACCCTATAAAAACTTTAATGTGGTTCTCATTTGGACTTTGTGTTACTATCCAAAGCATGGAGACTTTGGACTATTGTAACTAGATCTAGAGTTTCTTTTCCTTTTCTTGGAGTGATTCGTCTGAGGCTTTGATTCATTCGTTGCTTTGGGATTCATCTGATGCTTTGTGATACCTAAGACTTAAGATTCATCAGGACCTTTGATTCATCTGAGACTTGGCCTTGATCTGAGACCTTGTGACCTCTATCTAGATCTTGTTGTATTCGTCTGCTTATGTGCTTGTTCATCTTGTGGCTTAATCCAAAGGGATAAGAATTTTGGTTTTGACCTATGTCAAATGTTTGCTCTTCTTGTCGTTAATTCACTTGCAAACACAAAGGCTTTCTCTTGGGCTACCTGACAATGAGACCATTTACTTTATGCTTTAGGATAGTCTCTTCATCTCCTCCCCCCTTATTAAATTTTCAAAACTTCTCTCTATTTTAAAAACTTCTTGTTTTCAAACTTCACACTTATTTCTTAGTAAACCTTGATTTGTCAAGTGATCCAGAAAATATTTTCTCAATAAATGCTAAACCACTTAAGCATATTCAAACATCTTTTCAAATTCTTAAAAAGACAAACCTTATCAAACTTCTTTTTGTGCCTTTGTTCGCTTTTTCTTTTAAGGTCCTTTTTCAAAAGATTAGATATGAGTCTATTCTTATAGTTATGAAAACCACTATACTTTTACAAGATGCTGAGAAATGATTGAAATTTTACACTTGAATGTTGAGATATACTTGTGAGAAAGTCCAAGTAAAGTTCTCTATATCAATATTTATGCAAATGCTCATTTCCTCATGCTTGTGGGTAGTAAATTGAGTTTTCCACTAGAATACAACAAAATATCTTCTAACTTAAAATCAATCAACAAACAACATAGCTTTTTTTAAACACATATAAGAAAATGGTTCCTGTGGAGTACCACAAATGTGAAGGGTGCTAATATCTTCCCCTTGCATAACCAACCCCCGTATCCGGGTGTCTCTTTTTTAGTTTTTGGTTGTTACTTTTTTGTGGGTTTTTTTCGACATTTTTCCCTTTTCCTTTGGAAACAATAAAGTTTGGTGGCGATTCTTGCATTTTCTGAGTTAAGTTAATCAATAGCATAATCTTAAAATTTTACCGCCGCAATAGTTCCAAGTATTATTCTTCTTAATTTGCTTTATCTCATATTGCATTGTTGCTAACGAATTTGAATAATTTAAGACTTGATTGAAATTTATTAGCTCTAACTCTATCAGGGTCGTCTTTGAGGGTGTGTAAAGAGAACTATAGCATATGGCCTCACACTTTTTCATGATTAAGTTATGGCTAAAAGGGCCTTCAAAAACATATTCAACTATTAATTTACAGTTAAGTAGGGCCTCATACAAATATTTCATAACTAAACGGAAGTTAACTTTAACTTCTTACACAAGGCTTCTCACAAGTTTGAGACGACTCTGAACTCTACCATTACATGTTTATGAATTAAGTCACCATCGTCGGTTATACCTTGATTAGGGAATACATCATAACCACTCAATCTAACTAACTAGTTCATTTATCTTTGTTTCCTTTCACTTTTTTTACTTAGGTGCTTTTTCACATATATGATCATTTTTTAGGAAAATCTTTTCATTATTTCTATTATATTCTTCATTGATAGGATCTTCACCTTGTTCCTAATTACACACTCTGCTTTCATCGAAACAACATCTCCATGTTCTAATATACTTGTACTGGTCAAAAAGTAAAGGTGTGTATGTGCGTGTTTCTCTTGAGGAAAGGGAAGTTTGTGGGTCTGAAGTCCAAAGACAAGCCTGAAAAGACTAAAGCTATTCAAAATGAAGAAGATGAGGCTAAAGAAAGTTCTAATGAAGAGGATGAGTTGCCTCTAGTATCCATAATGGTCAACCAACTCTGGAAGAAAATACAGAAGAAGTCTATAAGTTATAGAAGATCGGGTGGACGCTCTAAGTCATCCTCTAGGAAAAATAAGTATGGAGCTAACAAAGAGGTTATTTGCTATGAATATAAAGAGCCCAACCATTATAAAAGTGAGTGAAGATCACTTAAAAACATAACTTACATTATAGGACGCGAAGGCATAGCCTGGGTAATAACAACAACAATGTTGCATAATTTGCAAAAATTATTACTCTTGACAGACAAAACATCATTGTTTCCAAGAATAGAATCATCACATGTTGTTGATTGATTGTCTCTTTTTCATTTTTAAAATTATTTAGTTATTATAACACTTTGCTCAAATTTTTACATTATTAAAGATCAGATTTTTGAAACTTTCATGCACCTAATTTTGACTTCTTCAATCATTATCAATTAATGAATTATGAATAGCTCAAAGTGAAAATAACTTTCTTTCTATTGACACGTGAGCCACTATACTTTATTGACAATGTCTCACATTGTTCCTTTATTTGATTGATATTATGAGATTGGTTTTAAAGCTTTTAAGACAAAAGTATATTATTCTAGGTATAGATTGTGTGTCACGTACATTTACTATATAATTGAAGGAAACAAAAAAAAAGAAATTTTCACATATGAATCAAAACATTATTTTCTAAGTTTCTTCCTTTCCCACTTAACAAAATACCCACCAAAAAAAAAGAAAATAAAAATGAACAACACTTTGAATACTATATAGAATCACAAAAGATTCGTATAACATATCACAAAAGGATATGAAAGATTAACAAAAGCATTAATCCATTTAGCACACAGTGAAATCACTTAAAAACATAATTTATATTGTAGGACGCGGAGGCATAGCCCTGGTAATAACAACAACAATGTTGCATAATTTGCGGAAATTCCTACTCTTGACTGACAAAACATCATCGTTGCCAGGAATAGAATCATCGCACGTTGTAATAGCAGCCAAAGCAGCCTTCAACCATGTCTGAGCATCAACGTCATCTTCAATCAACAATGAAGCAATGGTGTCTTCAAGCTGAGATTCAGCATCAAGTATTGTTTCCTTGCAATCAGACAAACCTTGTTGGATTTTAGGGTCTAACTCAGGGTCTTCGATCAATAACTTGACGTCGTTTAGAATTCCAGAAGCGTTTTTAGCAGCAAATTTTAGGGCTACAATTGCTAAGTCTGAGAGGTCGGCGTTTGGTGATTTTGATGGGTCGGACGTAAGAACTTCCACACAGAGATCTTTGTCGTTTCCTGATAAATTGCATACATTTTGGATTAAGGCATTGCCTGTAAGTAACTCTGCGGTTGTCTGGTGAGCAAATACAATGATGCAGATAACCAAAACCGAGAAGATTTTTGTCATTTTTTATTTTCGTTTTTTCGTTTTTCTTTGACTTATTGATCTTCTCGGTGTTTGGTTATCCTGGAATGTTGTATTCGACCACGAGGAAATTGTAGAGGATGGTTTCATGATCTTATAATGGGAGAGAAGTGCATTGTGTCCTTGAATTTGTTTTTGCTAAAATTGTAATTTATGTGTTATTCAACACTTGATTTAAGGGAGGTTATTCAACACTTTATTTTCTACCTTTCATCTTTTTTCTATTTTTAGTGATGAGATTTTGATCACATGTTTATTTAACTTTATGTATTTATTTATGAAATATGTTTATTTTGTGAGTTAAAAAATTATTGATTATTAGATTTATAAAAAAAAATATATGAAAAAATAATATTTAAATATGCATGTATATGATTAATCTTCACCTATGATATTTTTTTTATCACCAATATCCAACTCACTTAAATGATTAATTCAGTTCAAAGTGAGTTTTGACATCAAGTAGTTCTATTTGTACACATATAACATTTTATTCTTGTAGATTACAATGAAATTTGTGATGTTTGGTGAAAAATTAGTTAAAATCAAATCATAGTTAAAAAATTGTGTTAATTTTATATTTTAATGGTGATTGTGATATTGTTCGTAACAAACCATTATAAAGATATATATCCTTGAAATATCAAAAGTTAAATATATCCACTTCATATTGAATGAAGTAAATCCAGCCAAACTCGCATAGACTAAAACATGCAGGTGTTGAGATATTTGCACAATATTAGATGACCAAGGAAATGGAAAAAAAAATAAAGAATAATGTTGAGAGAATGAAATAAATAATAGAAAGTTTGTGCACAAGTGTTTATGAGAGTCAAAGTGTTTATTGAGTAATAATTTGATTACAAATATTCGAGTAATTAGAGTAATTGATTTTGTACTTTTTTTAAACAAGCTACTCAACCAACTACTAATTGAATATAATTAATTTAACAAATTTTGAAATTAACTAAATTGTTTACTTGCTCAACAAATATTTATTTTTTTATAGCAAATCAAAAATCATATATTAAACAAAGAACAAAAGTAAAAGAACATAAAGGAGCTGAGAGAACAAGAAATGTGCATAGCTACCTATCTAACTAAAGTATATAACTAAAAATAAATAGAAAAACTAAAACATCAACAACGAAAAACAATAAGCAATAGAAAATACAAGTCAATCATTCCAACATCCTAACGTATCTTGAAAACTAAAATACAACAGATCTTTTGAGAGAGCAAGCTGAAGGGAGATAGACACAACCACCTTCACAAAAAATGGTAGTTGATCATCCAACACACCCATACTTATCAAGCCACTTGAGAGGGTTTCATTCCCATTCATCAAGAGAAATGGTCAAACCTAAAGCAGGGGCATAAATCCACTCCACCACAAGACACCCTTCTAAGGCCTCTATCCATACTTTTAGGGGGAAACCAAAACTCAATGTTGTACCTAGCCAAGCAAATGTCCATCCAAATAGATGGAAAATCCATGAGAATCCTTCACGTTCATATCCACTTACTCCGCAAGGCCTAATTAGCTAATTTAAGATCCTTCACCCTAAGATCTCAGATCCTCAGACATTTTTGCTTTACAAACATGCTCCCACCTAACCCGCACAACCTTAGCTCATTCTTTGGAACCACATAAAGGAATCACCTTTGCTACTAACCAACTTCTTCCAAACTGAGGTCGGCATCGTGAAAGACAAGAAAAACACATGGATTTAATTCAGCATTGAGTTCAACGAGACCATCGTGCCAATTAATCTCACAAAACTATATATTTGGGAAGCTGATCTTTTAGAAACTAGGTTTACGATAGGATCCTAAGTCTTGGCCCTCTTTTGGTTCGCACCCTTTGGGAGCCCTAAGTACTTAAACATAATTTAGTCCACCGTACAGTGTAAACGTCCTCGGTCTGATCCAAGAAATACATCCCCATATTAACTCCAAATATGTAACTATTAGCAAAATTAACTTTGAGACCCTAGGCATGCTCAAAGCTTCTGAGATCCTCCTTGATGGTCAGGAAGTTCTCAGTCTACATAACCCCTATCGTCGTTGTATTATCGGCATACTATAAATGAGACACCTCTAACCCCTTTAAACCTACCTTGAAACCCATAAAAAACATACTTAAACTGCCATTTTCAAAGAAGCACTAAGACCTTCCACCACAATAAGAAAAATAAAAGAAGTTAAAGGGTATCCTAACTTCAGACGTTTATGGCTAAAGGATTTCCTTGCTCGAAAATTAACCTACATAACAACAAAAATTTTCACAAGATTCATGTTTCTTTATGATTAAATTTCCACTAATGTCTTCAATTCATCAAAATTTGAATTTTTCAATGGTTTGGTGAGAATGTCTGTTAATTGCACCTTAATTTCCTAGTAAACAAGTTCTAGATTTTCTTTGTCATTTTGACCACAAAGGAAATGAAATTTCTTTTTAATGTGCTTACAACTGTCATGGCTTATAGAGTGCTTTGTTATGTCAATTGTTGACTTGTTGCCTACAAGTAGCTTCATATTTGCATCTCTGAAATATTTTCCCTAAGAAACATTTCAATCAATATTGCTTAATAGGATGCAAATGAGGTTGCTCCATATTATGCCTCAAATGAAGATAAAAAAATAAGGCCTTGCTTATTTGAATACTAAAAATTATATATTTACTATCATGAAAAGCAATCTAGTTGCGTTCTTCCTGTCATCTTGATCTCCGCCCTAATCTGAGCCTGAATAACCAAACGAAACTTCAGCATTATAGTCGTTTTTCTTATTTGACATCAAGATACCATGATCCATGGTTTCTTTTGTATATTGCAGGATCCTATTTGATATTTCTAATGGGATTCCTTTTATTGCATATATATCTTTGTGAAGCTATGATTTGCTTATATAGAGTAGCGTTCTACAACTCCTCTTCGCCCTCTTTGCAGAGTTTGGCTCTAGTCTCAATTGATGACACAACTGCATTGTAATTGATCATATTGACCTTATTTGGTACATTTATTCCATATATTCTGTTACAAGAAAATGGATTTTCTTGTGTTCTTGAATTAAATTCCCAATACATAAGTTAAGTTTCCAAGATCAGATATCACAAATTCAATCATCGTGTGTCTTTTGAACTTATTCATCTATGATTCATTTATTCTTGTAATTAGGAGGTCATCAATATACAAACATATTATCGAGGAATAATTTCCATTTTTATACTCAATTCCTTGGTTTATAACTCACTATTATTTATGAAAGCTTCCTAATTCCTTAGGAGAATTTGAAGTAAAAACAAGCAAGAATGCTTGTTAATTTCTTGATCACAAACTTATAATTATTTATTCCTAAATCAATTACTAAGTTTGAACAATCACCCTATTTCAAATTCACAACGTTAGGGACAAAAATTGCAACGAACCTCATTTTAATTCACATGCTCGACAATACACAAATAACATTAAGATAAAAAATAACTGAATAAAAACTAAAATATCAAATCACAAAAACTTGTACAAAGCCAGCTACATAGTTCAACAAATCAAATCAGCTTCGTCTAACATAACTAATCAAGAGTAAATTAGCTACTCATTGTAATACAAGTAAATATTATGATTTGGCAAGAGCAACACATGTAAACCAATGAAGAATATGGTCTTCAATGGTTGAAAACTCTAAAATTTCTTGCTCCAGAATTTCCTTGACGTCACTTTTAGCTCCAAAAAACATAACCCCTATAAAATTATGCCTTTTTACTTTTAAACATTAAAAAATGTGTCATATTGGCTATCCCTCGAGGCCATTATCATTATCATCGCGCCCACAAATGGTCATCATCACGCCTAAGATGATGTCACGATAATTTCAGGGGCATTTGCTTGTTTTTCTTCATTTTTTATTTTAAGTCCCATTATTCTTAATTTTTTTTCTTTCTCTTTTCTATTATTCACATTTCTTCTTCATATTCTTTCACAGTTGCTCAAAAATAACTCGATAACAATGAAAAAACTCATAAAATCATGTAATGCAAGCGTGTCATCACATATACTGTGTTCTTTAGCGGATTTGGTGAATCTTATAAGAATAAGAAATCTAGAAATCTTCCTATGAGCAGCATAGTTTCCTGACCTTTGAGCTTAAAACCAATTATTTGTCTCACACAGACCTCTTCCTACAGTGGTTCATTAAGAAAAGTTAACTTTACTTGATGTTTGTACATAGGCCAGCCATTTTATACTCATATGAATACACAATTCTAATTGCCTCGTATCTTGATATTTGTGTATAGATTTCTTGAAATCTAGACCTGGTCTTTCTAGGAAGCCTCTGGCAGCTACATTTTCCTTGTACTTTGCAATTCTATCATTTGGCCTCATTTTTAGTTTTACACAAACATTGCATCAATTGGATTCTTATTGATTTACTTGTTTTCTAGGTTTCTGTACCCTAATTTTTACCCATAAGATTCCATCTATCATGTCATTTGCATTTCATCAAAATCACAAACATGGTTTCTCCTAAATTTTACCTCCTTTGGTTTAACTTTTGTAGGAGATCACCAAGTACCCTTTGTGTTTCTTTGTTATCTTATTGATTGCTCACATTCTAGCATCACTAAACTTATTCAAAATATAAAAATATGTTTTGTTTCCTTTTTCTTATTATGCAAGGTAGGGGCTTGTAATCAAAGGATCAAGACTGATTTCTAAATTAGGATTTTGGGTTCCCTAAGGCAAAGGTATGGTCAACAAATGGTCTACAAGAGCTTTTATCTCAAGGCGTGGCCTATAATCTTAGGTCACATTCATGCCAAGCTTCATTTAACATCATTTAATTAAGAGAAGTTCAAGTTTGGTGCATGACTCCAAAGATGATTCAAGTATGGCTCATATGTTTATTTCCATGCCATCTTCACCAAAATTCTCAAAGGAAACTATCAAGATTTCCCAAAAAACCAATAAAGTTCCATTTATATGGTATTCATGTGTTCATCGTGAAGCCTTGGGATGCAAGAAATCACAAGTTGGCACATGTTTGGTTGGCCTAAAATCAAGTATAGCATGTTACTTGGTCTAAACACCATAACTTTCTCAGCTTTCAACCTTTTGGGGATTTTCTCTGAGCCAAATGTCATATTTGATGTCCTTTACACCTTTTCTTCAAGGGCCAAGACTCAATTCAGCCTCTAAGTCCATCAATTTTTGAAGTTTCTCAAAGGCCATATGTGCACAAAACCAGGTCCATGACATGTTTGACCTAATGTCAAACCTGTTTTTCAGTGCCACGACCTCAACTTTCAACTCATACCATTTTCACCTCAAGCATCCCTTTGAGTTTGTTGTTTTTTAATTGTGTTCTTCTTTATAGAAGTATCATTTAGCACAAGAAAAATCACAAAATGCATGAGTAGATTTCATTTGGCCTAGGCATGAACATGGTGGCCTGAACTCTGTTTTGATCCGTGACCTATAATTAGTAATCATGCCAAAATCAACTTGGGACCACCAAAACCATGTGAAAACCTGCTCCTTACCACAAAATTATTTTTAACACAATGCAAAACGACCTTAAGAGTACCAAAAACTTACACATTTTGTACCATTTTTCATACACCTTGGATCTAGTAATTTCTCAACTTAGTTCACACGTTTGGGATCTCATTTAGCACATACCATGACCTTACTCCCTTCCCTATAAGCAGAGCATCGTTTTTCCTTCATTAGCAAGCTTTGGAAGCCACAAAACCTCTGTCATTTTCACTTTAAATAAGCTCAAAAACTAGAAACCCTAACTTCGATTTAAGCTTGTTTTAACTTCAAATCTCTGCTCAAAATCCTTCATCGGTAGCATCTAAAGTTACTTGAAGCATTACAAAAGTTCAACACCTTCTATAACCTTCAACCTGATCTCACCATTTTCATACCTTTGAAGCTTTTTCAAACAGGTAGATACGAGTAAAATTACACTTCAAACAAGTTACTAGTAGCTTCGTCGTGCTTCACTGGTCAAAAGCTCTCACTCACGTTGCATTTTTTCTTTGTCTTAGTCATTTAATTTTACTTTGAAACCTTAGGATTTTCGGCGTATTTGAGCAAATTCTCTCTGCTTAGAGCCAATAAAAGGCTTTAATGCAGTGAGACATGTATGATGAATGAAGTAGGAGCCTGCATGTTTGGTGTTTGAGCTCAAAACTTCAAGTTCATGAACCTGTAAAATAAAAAATTTGGAGGTTGAAGACGAAGATCTTCACACGTTTCAGAGGGAAATTCAAATCCTCCATCCCATTACAGCGTGCCACGCATGCTAGCCATCGTATTTTGAATTTATTTTTTCTTTTATTTTCATTTAATTCTATTTTCTTTCTAATTTCACTAAAAATAGCTCCAAAGTGATTTTTCACTGAAATTTTTTTCATAAATTTCTAAAAATATTTTCTATCACATATTTTTTTTCTTCAGATTTATAAAATTATTTTTATCATTTGTTGTTATTTTCTCTCTATTTTTCATTTAATTTCTTTTCAACAATTTATTTTCAATTATTTTGAAACATTTTTAATCTCAAATTTTGAGATCTCATTACTTATAGTATTTGTGATTTTCTCAAAATTTTTAGGACATTTATTTGATGTTTTGATGCCTCTTTGGTATTTTCCATTTTAAAAATCTTTTAAATTTGTTTTTAATAGGTTTTCTATTGTTTTGGTCCATTTTATGCTTTGACTCTTGTTGACTTTGATCATTTGTGATTTATTGGTACTTCATCCTGTTTAATTGGACTTTGGATTAATGTCTTGATGGATTGAACTTTCTTTATTTTAAACTTATCATTAAATGATCATTTTATCTTTTTTGGTACTTTGGATTGATGATAAGTTTACCTCAAGGTATCATGAAGAGGAATGATTGAAGTTGATGATAGATAATCCCATGTGCCTTTGTGATTGATCATCTCAATCTCAATCTCTTTCTTCTTGTTGTTTTGTTTTGACATGTGTTACATTGTTTTAGGAGAATGACTTTGTGTCATTTCTCTAACATGTATGACACATAAATTGTTATTGACCAGCCTCAGGTAGTTTTGACTTCTACATAAGTCCAATTACGATTGCTTAACATAGTACTGAATTTATTTGGAATCAGTTTAATTCTCATTAACACTAACATTAACACCTCATAATTGTACTAACTCATAACTTTAGTTTCAAGCATTTACTTTAGTTCTCTTTACTTTTATGCAATTTATTTTATGTCATTTACATTTGAGCATTTATATTTAAACATCTTTATGTTTGTTTTTATTTTTTATGCTTTATCTCTTGCTTTTTGCTTTTTCTTTATTCTAAAAGACCAAAAACATTAATAAATAATCAAAACCCTAAAAAAAACTTTAATGTGGTTCTCATTTGGACTTTATGTTACTATCCTGTGCTTGGGGTTTCTTTTCTTTTTCTTGGATTGATTTATCTGAGGCTTTGATTCATCCGTTGCTTTGGGATTCATCTGACGCTTTGTGATATCTAAAACTTAAGATTCATCAGGACCTTTGATTCATCTGAGACTTGGCCTTGATATGAGACCTTGTGACCTCTATCTGGACCTTGTTGTATTCATCTTGTGGCTTAATCCAGAGGGATAGGAATGCTGGTTTTGACCTATGTCAAATGTTTGAATAATTTAAGACTTGATTGAAATTTATTGGCTCTAACTCTATCAGGTCCGTCTTTGAGGGTGTGTAAAGCGAACTATAGCATATGGCCTCACACTTTTTCATGATTAAGTTATAGCTAAAAGGGCCTTCAAAAACATATTCAACTGTTATTTTACAGTTAAGTAGGGCCTCATACAAATATTTCATAACTAAACGGAAGTTAACTTTAACTTCTTACACAAGGCCTCTCACAAGTTTGAGACGACTCTGAACTCTACCATTACATGTTTATGAATTAAGTCACCATTGTCGGTTATACCTTGATTAGGGAATACATCATAACCACACATCTAACTAACTAGTTCATTTATCTTTGTTTCCTTTCACTTTTTTTACTTAGGTGCTTTTTCACATATATGATCATTTTTTAGGAAAATCTTTTCATTATTTCTATTATATTCTTCATTGATAGGATCTTCACCTTGTTCCTAATTACACACTATGCGTTCATCGAAGACAACATCTCCATGTTCTAATATACTTGTACTGGTCAAAAAGTAAAGGTGTGTATGTGTGTTTCTCTTGAGGAAAGGGAAGTTTGTGGGTCTAAAGTCCAAAGACAAGCCTGAAAAGACTAAAGCTATTCAAACTGAAGAAGATGAGTCTAAAGAAAGTTCTGATGAAGAGGACGAGTTGCCTCTAGTATCCAGAATGGTCAACCAACTCAGGAAGAAAATACAGAAGAAGTCTACAGGTTATAGAAGATCGGGTGGACGCTCTAAGTCATCCTCTAGGAAAAAGAAGTATGGAGCTAACAAAGAGGTTATTTGCTATGCATATAAAGAGCCCAACCACTATAAAAGTGAGTGAAGATCACTTAAAAACATTACTTATATTATAGGACGCGGAGGCATAGCCCTGGTAATAACAACAACAATGTTGCATAATTTGCGAAAATTATTACTCTTGACAGACAAAACATCATCGTTTCCAGGAATAGAATCATCACATGTTGTTGATTGATTGTCTCTTTTTCATTTTTAAAATTATTTAGTTATTATAACACTTTGCTCAAATTTTTACATTATTAAAGATCAGATTTGTGAAACTTTCATGCACCTAATTTTGACTTTTCTATCATTATCAATTAATGAATTATGAATAGCTCAAAGTGAAAATAACTTTCTTTCTATTGACACGTGGGCCACTATTCTTTTTTGACAATGTCTCACATTGTTCCTTTATTTGATTAATATTATGAGTTTGGTTTTAAAGCTTTTAAGACACAAGTATATTATTCTAGGTTTAGATTGTGTGTCACGTACATTAACTATATAATTGAATGGAAGAAAAAAAATTTCACATACGAATCAAAACTTTATTTTCTAAGTTTCTTCCTTGCCCACTTAACAAAATACCCACCAAAAAAATAAAACAAAAATGAACAACACTTTGAATACTATATAGAATCACAAAAGATTCATATAACATATCACAAAAGGATATGAAAGATAAACAAAAGCATTGATCCATTTAGCACACAGTGAAATCACTTAAAAACATAACTTATATTATAGGACGCGGAGGCATAGCCCTGGTAATAACAACAACAATGTTGCATAATTTGCGGAAATTCCTACTCTTGACTGACAAAACATCATCGTTGCCAGGAATAGAATCATCGCACGTTGTAATAGCAGCCAAAGCAGCCTTCAACCATGTTTGAGCATCAACGTCATCTTCAATCAACAATGAAGCAATGGTGTCTTCAAGCTGAGATTCAGCATCAAGTATTGTTTCCTTGCAATCAGCCAAACCTTGTTGGATTTTAGGGTCTAACTCAGGGTCTTCGATCAACAACTTGACGTCGTTTAGAATTCCAGAAGCGTTTTTAGCAGCAACTTTTAGGGCTACAATTGCTAAGTCTGAGAGGTCGGCGTTTGGTGATTTTGATGGGTCGGACGAAAGAACTTCCACACAGAGATCTTTGTCATTTCCTGATAAATTGCATACGTTTTGGATTAAGGCATTGCCTGTAAGTAACTCTGCGGTTGTCTGGTGAGCAAATACAATGACACAGATAACCAAAACCGAGAAGATTTTTGTCATTTTTTATTTTATTTTTTTTGTTTTTCTTTGACTTATTGATCTTCTCGGTGTTTGGTTATCCTGGAATGTTGTATTCGACCACGAGGAAATTGTAGAGGATGGTTTCATGATCTTATAATGGGAGAGAAGTGCATTGTGTCCATGAATTTTTTTCCTTCTAAAATTGGAATTTGTGTGTTATTCAACACTTGATTTCAGGGAGGTTATTCAACACTTCATTTTCTACCTTTCATCTTTTTTTCTATTTTTAGTGATGAGATTTTGATCCCATGTTTATTTAACTTTATTTATTTATTTATGGAATATGTTTATTTTGTGAGTTAAAAAATTATTGATTATTAGATTTATAAAAAAAACATGAAAAAATAATATTTAAATATGCATGTATAGGATTAATCGTCACCTATGATATTTTTTTAATCACCAATATCCAACTCACTTAAATGATTAACTCAGTTCAAAGTGAGTTTTGACATCAAGTAGTTCTATTTGTACACATATAACATTTCATTTCTGTAGATTACAATGGAATTTGTGATGTTTGGTGAAAAATTAGTTAAAATCAAATCGTAGTTAGAAAATTGTGTTAATTTTATATTTTAGTGGTGATTGTGATATTGTTCGTAACAAACCATTATAAAGATATATATCCTTGAAATATCAAAAGTTAAATATATCTACTTCATATTGAATGAAGTAAATCCAGCCAAACTCACATTGACTAAAACATGCAGGTGTTGAGATATTTGCACAATATTAGATGACCAAGGAAATGGAACAAAAAGAAAGAATAATGTTGAGAGAATAAAATAAATAATAGAAAGTTTGTGCACAAGTGTTTATGAGAGTCAAAGTATTTATTGAGTAATAATTTGATTACAAATATTCGAGTAATTAGAGTAATTGATTTTGTACTTTTTTAAACAACCCATTAAACCAACTACTAATCGAATATATTAATTTAACAAACTTTTGAATTTAACTAAGTTGTTTAATTGCTCAACAAATATTTATATTTTATAGAAAATCAAAAGTTATATATTAAATAAAGATAACAAAAGTAAAAGATTATAAAGGAGTTGAGAGAAAAAGAAATGTGCGTAGCTACCTATCTAACTAAAGTATAGAACCAAAAACAAATAGAAAAATTATAACATCAATAACGAAAAAAAACTAGCAAACATATCTTGAAAACTCAAATGAAACATATCTTTTGAGAAAGCAATGTAAATGGAGGTAGACACAACCATATTCACAAAAGAGGGTAGTTGACTATCCATCACACCCGTACATGTTAAGCCACTTAAGAGCGTTTCATTCCCATTCATCAAGAGAAATGGTAAAACCTAAAGCACGGGCATGAACCCACTCCACCAACGAGGCACCATTTTAAGGCCTTTATCCATACCTTTTAGGGGAAGCCGAAACCCTAAATTGTACCTAGTCGTGCAAATGTCCATCCAAGGCAAGGGATGTTAGAACACAGATTGGTTCTTAATTATATCTCTATGTTTTGATGATAACTCTTATGAAATTTTATATTAAAGAATTATATACTCTAAAATTTGGTTAAGTATGTTTGTTGTAGATATTAAAAGTGAATCTTATTCTGAAAGCAAATTAGATCTGAACATGAAAATATGCAAGGCTCTGAAGCGTCAGAAGCATCTCTTAGAAGAATCTGAACGCTGCCTACAGAAGATTCTGAGCGCTGTCTATAGAAGGATCTGGAGCAGAAGCTATAGAAGAATCTGAAGCAGAAGCCAAAAGCATTGAAGAATTCTGTATGAAGAGTTTCAAGCTCAGTTTATTTCAGAAGACTCTGATAGTACTACGCTGCCAGTACTGAGGATCTGATCCCAAACTCTGCTCTGAACAATTACACGCTGAAAGCACACTTGCTGCATTGCTCTGATTCAGCAAACTCTGATGAACATCAAAAGACTCTGACTGCTCAAGACTCTGATGATATTTGCTGAAACTTGTTGAAGAAGAATTCAAAGTTATGTCCGTTGGAATGGCCAAACGACTCTTTCCTCTTTTATGCTAGACACAAGAACACAGACAAAAAGGATTTATCTGTGCATTCTACTTCTAGGAAAGGTCATGTGATGTGAAGACAAAAAGGCTCAGACCTTTTCAGTACACAGACTTCAACGTGAAAGACTTCTTGGACCTTTGTGCCTATAAAAGCAAGACTTCATCATTCTTCTTCAGTTGACGAAATCATTGAAAGAAATTCATTACAAGCTCTCATACAAAACATTCTCTTGCTGAATTTATTTCTAAGTTCTTAAATCTTAAGTGTAAAATCACAGTTGTGATATAGCTTAATTAGAAGCATTTAAACACTTGTTTTATTCTTACATTTGATTGTAAAAGTCCTTAAGAAGATCCAATTAGGATCAGTTGTTCTTAAGAAGACTAAGAACAGTTGTTCTTAGTGCTTGCTATTGTAATCAGTTGATTAATAATGGATTAAGTCCTTGTTGAGAAAGGAAAATCACTCTTGATAGGGTGGACTGGAGTAGTTGAGTTCAACGAACCAGGATAAAAATCCTTGAGTTTTTATTGCCATAAGTTTTTCTATATACTTATTTAACCCCCCCTTTCTAAGTATTTTCTCATGTTCAGTTGGCATCAGAGCTTCGGTTCTGTGTGTGCTACCACTTCACCGTGACAGAAAAGATCCAGTGAGAAAAATTTGATATATATTTGGTTGTTATTATGGCTGAAACTTTAACATCTAACAACAACAACAGATATGAAGAAAGGGAAAGAATTAACACAAAACCCCCTATGTTTGATGGGGAGAAATTTGACTATTGGAAGGATAGGATAAAAAGTTTCTTCCTTGGTTATGATGCTGATTTATGGGATTTGGTCATTGATGGGTATGTTCATCCCACTGATGGGGATGGCAAGAAAGTTGATAGAAAATCAATGACTAAAGCTCAAAAGAAGGAGTTCAGAAATCATCATAAAGCTAGAACAATCTTGTTAAATGCAGTATCTCATACTGAGTATGAGAAGATCATAAACAGAGAAACTGCATTTGACTTTTGAAGATGACACATGAAGGAAACCTTCAAGTTAAAGAGACCAAGGCTCTGGCGCTAATACAGAAGTATGAAGCGTTCAAAATGGAAGAATCTGAGTCTATAGAAACTATGTTCTCTAGATTCCAGATCCTCACAGCTGGTCTAAAAGTTCTGGACAAAGGCTACTCAACTGTTGATCATGTGAAGAAGATCATCAGAAGCTTGCCTATCAGATGGAGACCTATGGTCACTGCTCTGAAGCTTGCTAAGGATCTGAACAAGATCACTCTGGAGGAGCTAATCAGCTCACTAAGGAGCCATGAAATTGAACTTGAGGAAGATGAGCCTCAAAAGAAAGGTAAGTCAATTGCCTTAAAATCTAACAAATATGTGAAAGCTTTGCAGGTGTTAGAAGAAAGCTCCGAAGAATCTTCTTCTGAAGAAGAAGATGAACCGTCCTTGCTGTCCAGAAGAATCAACAGACTCTGGAAGCACAAGCAGAGGAAGTTCAAGAACTTCAAAAAGCCAGATCAGCGCAAGGAGTCCTCTGGACCAAAAAGATCGGGAAAGAAGGAAGTTGTTTGTTTTGAATGCAAACTACCTGGTCATTACAAAAATGAATGTCCAAAGCTTCAGAAAGAAAAGCCCAGAAGAAAGCCTAAGCACAAGAAGAAGGTTCTAATGGCTACATGGGATGATTCAGATGACTCTGAATCTTCATCAGATTCTGAAGAAGAATGCGCCAATATGGCTCTGATGGCAGGCATTGAAGATTAGAATGAAGGATCATCTGGATCTGAGTCTGATTCTCAATCTGACTCAAAAGAGGTACTTTCTGATCTCACTAGGGAAGAGCTTATTAAGGTTTTATCAGAAGTCCTGAAAAACTATATTCAGATTAAGCTCAAATGTAAGAAGCTTAAATGCAATCTTGAATCTGAGAATAATCTGTTAAGATCAGAAATTACTGAGCTAAAAGAAAATAATTTGAAAATGAAAGCTAATTTTGAAAAAGCTCAACAAAAATCTGAATCTAAAAGTAAGTCTAAATGCAAAAACATTTTAGAAGAATATGACTTCAGCTTTCAGAAGTTTCTAGCTAAAAGCATAGATAGAAGCAAGATGGCTTCAATGATCTATGGGGTTAGCAGAAACAACAGGAAAGGAATTGGATATGAATCTTCCTCTAGAAAGGATTTAAATCCAATACCTGTTGATAAACTTGTTATTAAGAAAACTCCCTTATACTCTCATTTCAAGTTTGGTCATCTGAATGATATCAAACACACACGTTCTGATCAGAACGTTCCTGTGTTTAAGCCAAAAGTCAGTCAGAACAAAACTGTTGTAAAAAGACAGAAGTTCAGACCAACTTTCAAGGCAACTAACCCAAAAGGACCCAAAAAGATCTGAGTACCTAAGGATAATATAATCCCTGTTGCAGATGTATTTAGCAGAAAAGTCAAGACGCCAGTCATGGTACCTGGACTCTGGCTGCTCACGTCACATGACGGGAGAAAGGTTTATGTTCCAAAGCCTGGAGCTTAAATCTGGAGGAGAAGTGAAGTTTGGAGGGAATCAGAAGGGCAAGATCATTGGCTTTGGTACTATTGGCAGTGGTAACCTTCCCTCTATATCTAATGTTTTACTTGTAGAAGGATTAAAGCATAATTTATTATCCATAAGTCAATTAAGTGACAAGGTTATGATATAATCTTTAATCAACAATATTTTAAAGCTGTTAGTCAGAAGGATGGCTCAATCCTATTTAATGGAAAGAGGAAGAACAACATTTACAAAATCAATCTTTCAGAACTTAAAGTTCAAAATGTTAAATGCCTCTTGTTTGTTAATGATGAGCAATGGGTCTGACACAGAAGATTGGGGCATATTAATATGAGACGTATATCTCAGATTAATAAACTCAATCTGGTCAGAGGACTTCCTAAGTTGAAGTTC